TATATATATATATATATATATATTATAAGATCATGATTATCATTAAAATATGTAATTTTACTATAATTTAAATTAATTTACTTTAAAAAATTATGTATCATGTTAATTTTATTTATATTTTAAAATAATAATATATTTTATTTATACGTATCCTAAAACAATGTAATTTTTTATGTTGAAACAAATAAAAAAAATTATACTTAATTTACGGGATAAATTTATTATTATTATTAAATATTAAGATATTAAGATCGGTGTAATAAAAATATATTTAATTACACAATAAAAATCAATCAAAATTCATGTAATCACTATTATCTTTTCCATGGCATTCGTGTCTAAATAGGAAATATTAAGATAAGCATAGTGAGTCGCGTAGTGTAACAAATTAATCTTAAAAAAATTAACCAATTATATTCAACATGAATATAAATAAAATTATTTTAAAGATATTTTAATTTAAAAATAATATAATCTTACATCGATAAAATAAGAAGAAAAAAAAAAGAATTTATAAAGCACATCGATGGAATGGAATGCATCAATTACCAGCAAGCTAGCTCTCTTATTAAACCATTTTACATTCGAAAAAAAAAGTGAATAAAATTTAGAAAATTGTAAATATTAATTAATAAATTAACATTTTTTTAGTAATTTCATAATATATTTCTTACTCTTACATAATAAATATACATATATTATGATTTTTTTTCAGTAAAAATTACAATAATGACATCAAGATATACTATCTAACCTCTCTTATTGCTAAGCTAAGATAACTCTAGTGATTCATGTGATTTCTTTTAAGGTTGACTTAATGATAAGAGATTTAAATGATTTCTACAATATGTGTTTTACTTTTGTTGTTCCATTGTAAAATAAATAATAAAAAAGTATATATATGATATTAAGTATTTTTTTTTACTAATATTTGATGTGTATTAATGCTTTTCAACGAAGATAATTACTCCCTTGTGATGATATTTTATATTAATAGCATAATTAAAATAAAATTACTTTTTTTTTTTTCATTTAGGAATATAATTCTGTATCACATTTCTAAAGTACACTATCTGGGTCGAAACTCTAAAAATTGAGAAGAGTATAGGAAAAATGTTTTGGATGTTGTCCAGAATTAGAAAATATAGTTTGGTCAAACTAGAAAACGTGGTTCTTTAACGCCCGAAAGAAACCTGTTGAATTCCGACCAATGACGTGTAACACGCCTATATTTGGAGTCAACTTTGTCTTCAGTTTCTGTTTAATGAGTTTGTCTAAAATGGCCATTCCCAACAACCCATGTGGAATAACAAAAAGAAAGAAATGCCACCATCTTTTCCTCTCATTGGCCACTGCTACATTTTTAGAGACACTTGAGCACACAATTTTTCACCTCACTTCAGAAATTGACTAATAATTTATTGGTAATCATATTCGTATCTTTATTCTTATCTTTTACGTATTTTTGACGAACATCTATCATTTTCAATAATCTACTGCATTATACCAACTGCACTGGGCCCCTCCTTTGATCTTGTGTGTAATTATTAATTAACGCGGTTAACTAGACTTGTTATTAGAAACAACAAAGGTGATATTAATTACTATTGTTTTTGGTAAAAGTAGAAAGTAAAAGATGCTACATTAGACACGACACATCATTTGGTATTTATAATGTTATATTGTTATTGAATTAATTTTCTCATTGAAGGGTTTTATTAAGTTAATGATATTGAAATAGAAATAAGTTTGATAAAATATAAATTTTGAAGGATGTTTAGGCAACACGGTGAGATAGCACTAGCACGTGAGTCCTCAGCGAAAGGTGGAACAACAAACACGGTACTTTGAAGCATTCTGATTTCTGAGTCATCACTTGATGCATTTTCCTTTGTAATTTCCCTTCAGACGTTTGGAAGACGTCCACTACTTAAAACCTTAACTTTCTCTCACTC